TTTTATATTTATTATATTTACTATATTTGGGCTGAGTTAAGTTTTTACCATGAGAATTTCGCTGATTTAAATTAACGTTACTGTTCTCTGAAGAATAACTCTCATGAAAACATATGTTATAAATCAATATTACGCGTGGAAATATTATCTGCAAAAGCAATTAAAACGACAAATAATAATATACAGTGTATAAAACAATCTCAGCCAAAAATAAAATTACATAACTATACCTATTTTTAGTTTTATTTTATCCCACATACTACTCTAAAATCAATTCGAGTTGGTGCAGCTTCTCAAATGTATGAGAATTCACCCAATAGGTTTGTGAGGCTCGAGCTAAAATTACTCAAATTTGCCTTAAATAAAAAGTTTATAAGTTACGGAATAATAAGTTTTGAAATTCCCGCTAAAAACCTTTATATGGGAGCCCACCGTGGCACTTTTAGTGTACAATCTTAAACACGTGTTTCTTTTTTTTAGTATGAAGTTGGCGTTCTTCTCTAGGTTGAGAGTAATTGTATTCCGTGTACAATAGAGTCCTGTTATTCTCTAGTCCTAGAATTAATTGCTTTGTCGTTTTTGAATTAATGCTTGTAGTGAAATCAAGAATTTTATGTATACTAATTTAAGATCTAATTCGAGATCTAATATTTGAGCATAGAGCTTATAGATGATAGATTGAAGAAAGACATCCTTGTTTAACTTTAATTTAGATTACCATAATTACTGAATCGCATTTTAAATAAAGTTCACCTGTCACAATAATTGTCTTAACCATTTTGGAAACTTGGATTGTTGGTAGCTTTAAACTCCGGTTAAATAAAAGTCCTTCTAACAAAGTCCCTTAGCTGTAGCGCCACAGTCTTCAAAATTTGACATTATGCTCTCAAATACCACTGTACATTTTAGTTCGCATATTTCCGCGGGATTTTTCTCGTGAAATGCAGGGCTTACTCCCGGAATTGTTTACGATTACGATTCGGATTTCAATATAAACTAACGCCGTTTTAAACCTAATTTTAAACTTTTTTTTTACTCTCGAACCGATTCGAATCGAGAAACAAGATCGAGATAACATCAAGCATTATTAGTGTCGTTAGACACATTCTCATTCATCATGGGAGATCATTATTAAAAATTTACTTTTTCAATCGTGTATAACGTAAGTAGGACAAACTTATCAGGAGAAAGCATTCTCATCGCTTGCGATTACGAACACCATCTAGCAGCGGACAGCTGAAGACTTTCGTTCTGATAATTCCAATTTGAACAACCATTCGATTTCGGGAGTTCGAACTTTAAATGAGATCGAATAAAGTTCGATTGATTCAGAACTCGATTCTGTCAGTACGCCGGCAGATTCTAGTTTAAATTTGAAACTAATTATAAACTTCTTTTTGTAATAAGGCCGAATATGTACATAAAAAACTAAGTAACACATATTTTGTATCGCATCTTTGACTAGTTATTTATATAATAAGTATTGAAGATAGCATTGTCACCTATAAACTAGTATTTTAATACTAAGTGAATTTTTAGTTTAAATATATATACATATAATTATGTGTAAAGGACAATTAGCTTTCGGGTGTATTTCAATATATATTATATATTTAAAAAAGCAAAAGTGTGAAGGAAGCTAGGATATTTCTTTCTTAATTTTATATCAAACACATTTTCAATATTTTATATTATCCTTGTCACCTTAGAGTCTTGCATCATTATTCATACCCTGCCAACTGTAACACGACATGTGTGCAATATTGCGTATCATAGATAACGTGAGCGTGACGAAGTAGTAATCCTGAAGCTAGCTATACTAAGCTATGTCGACGTTGGCCTTATATAAAATTCAACATAATATTGTATGATTTTAATACTTTGCTAACTTCTAAACTAAATATTCAGTATATTTCTGGACAAAATGTCCAACGTTGTCATAAGAGAAATGTCGTATTTTAAACAAAATTGATACTTCTTGAAATAGTTTATGCTCGGAAAAATATGCGCATACATTAAATACTCAACTAAATTCTTTATCGGATGAATTTTTAAAATAGTTTTAGTTAATGGAAATAAAAAAAATATATAATTTATTGCCAGTAAAAAGCTTTGACGTTCGAGTTTTCGTTTGTTTAAGCGACACCCAACCATATACTGTTTTTCGATAACACGAAAAGCATTTAATTGAATAAGATTCTTGATCGGCTTCAATTTTATTTCCTGATAATAAACAAAAGCGTTTTCAATAAAATAACTTTATGTTCACCGAAAGTCGCAGGCTTATTTCGTGCTGGACAAATATGCACGTAGCGGAGATTAAAGGTAAGACATGCACAACGTGGAGTAGATGCAGGCGGCTTAGGTCCGTATTTTGTGACAACCATTGGAGGAAGCCTATATCCAACAGGTGACTATTCATCAATGATAGCCCTTACAGGGCTATCATTGATGAATAAAATAAAGCACGAGATTGTTGAAACGCCTACTAATGGAGGCCATGTGAACTTCCGGGCACAAGTGATGGATTTTGTTTTATAGCTACCACCTTATAAAATGCTACCATTTAAATATATGTATGTATATATAGGGGCGGTTCTTTCAACGCGCTACAACAGCGTATACGGTTTGAAAAAAAAATCGAAGCCTAAATCACGCTATTCAGCGAGTAACTCTGAATATAAAGAAATAAATCCGAACTACCACATATATCCCTGGCAGCTCCCCAGGTTGATCACCTTGCTCAACAGGAGATCTCCCCTTTTCCAACAACGTAACATACTGAATTTACACTCCATATATAACATTCGTATCGAAGTTTCACTTATGAGAGAGAAGTAATTGGAGCATACTGTGTATCCCGGGTAACTTGGTCTTGAAGCGTTCATTAGGACGTTAGCTCATTAACTGTAACCAAATTGCATTATTTAGGCCAACTTATACGAGAATTACAGCAGAGCGCCCAAGCGAATGGGAACGTATTACGAGTATTAGAAGTTTGAAAATGGAAATTTTCGATGTACTGTTTATTCATCTCCATAAATATTAAAACCTCATTTCCTGTACATATTTAACATACTTTTTTTGCACACATCGAACGCGTAAGCGGAGATGTATTGCTCTATTGTCACCAAATAAAAAAATTGCGATTCACTCAAATTAAATTACTTCCATCAGCATTATATTGCACTTATATAATAAAAAGAGGACACCAAGAGCAAGAGAAAATTTTAATTAATACTTCTTACATAGTTGTAAGATTATTTATTTCGATTTATATTAAAAAAAAGTAAATTGAAAATAATTTCACTTGGACATCAGTTGGTCGGTATGGATGTGAACAAGATATCTTTCGAAAAATTGAACTTATCACTTTGATTTTTTTTAACAGCTTTGGATTTTAATGCTTAGGAAGCCTTTTGAATTGCACTAGTTTAAACATTTGTTTTTTTTTAACTGTCAATTTTTTTCGGTAACAAAATACGAATCACTGGTATCAAGCAGTCAAAAATAAAAACGAAATACGCGTTTCGGTAACTAATAAAAGTAAATTGATTATTCAAAACATTACATGAGCGTTCGAGGTGTGCACTTTTTGATTTATAGAGACTATCAGCTTTCTCCATAGGATTTTCACTTTTAGTAAAAAAATCTGTTTTTTTTTTAAATTTTTGAAACGAAGTGTAAAAAGTAGCAATCTATATACTACTAAGCAAAGATTCATTTTGAGCAGCTAAATATTAAAATATCTAAACCAAATAAATTTTAGTATCACGATGAAAACGTAATAAATTCATCATAAGCTTTCGTGTAGCAATACCCACTTAGCAATATTGTACCTTGTTAAACTCCAGGTACCAGGCGTTAGGCTTGGCCCATCAGGAATCAGTAAGCCCGGCAGGATTAAAGCGAGGTGAAGCTACGTCATCGTAATACTAGAAAAGATTTGGCCAGTAGAGGCGAAGGACAAAAAATACGGAAAAAGCAAGTGAAGGCCTTTACGGGTCCGAACCAAAATGAAAACAAAAAAATACATGTAATTTAAATAATAAGGTTTTATTAGTTTTGGATAAATGTAAAAGTGTTTGTCATTGTTTGGTAAAAGAAATAAAAATACTTTTGTATTATATTATAATATAAGAACCAATTGACTATTATCAAAAGAATGACTACTTTAAAATGGTCGTGTCAAGATGATTGCGTGGTATTATACCTAATAATTTAGGCGACATTAGAAAGTAACATCCGTGTCCGACGATACACGCCTACGTAGCTATGAATAAATGAAAGGAAACATGTTATTCGAAACAAAATATCATCGGTTTTAATTGTACTAACTTTAACCGTGCCAACCGCAGATGAAAATATAAAAGAAACTGCGCAGGTGTATGATTTCTTTCAAATACAATAGAATTGTATATTTTTCCTCATTATAAGTCAGTGCTTGACTACAGAACTTGACGGCTCCGTGGCGCAGTGGCTTAGCAATGAATTGTTGCGCTAGGTGCCGCGGGTTTGAATCCCGCACGGAACAAGTATTTGTATGGCATAAATAATTGTTCCGGGTCTGGATGTTTATCCTCGTGCAATTTATGTTTGTAAACTGCCTCCATGACACAGGAGAAAATCCTAGTGTGGGGATAACGTTTTTTAAAAGATAAAAAAGGGGAGGGAAGAATTAATTTTTATAAATAAAAATTAGAAAAAAATGCTAATATTAATTTGTATTTTTTCATTTATTTATCATTTAAAAGTTGTATACAAAAGCATAAGTAAAATAGTTATTTAGTAGGTAGTTATATATAATAGTCATATATTAGTAGGAATAAATAGTAAAGATATTTTTTAAACTTTTAAAGAGGTTTCTATCCAGCAGCAAAATATTTAAGGATAAATTATTAACGAGCTACAACAACGTCTTATATCTACTTTACAAAAAGAAGCGATCACTGGATTATGTATTGTTGATAGAGCTAACAAGAGTCAGTTGATATACTCACTTGTTGTATAGCACGATGTCTGGCAACCAAATATGCTCCGACGGTACGTAAAGTTCTTTGACGCCACCATACTCATTAGGATCCCATTTGAATTTATGATCTTCCCATTCCTAAAAAGTAATATGTAATTTGAAAAAAAAAACATTTTCGAAAAACAAAAAAATAATACAATCAGTTCTAACTTTTAGAGGTAATTGTTAGGGTTCCGTATCCAAAGGGTAACCAAAGGCACCCTATTCCTAAGCCTTCACTGTCCGTCCGACCGGCCGTCTGTCTGTGAACGGGCTGTATCTCATGATGCGTAATATGTACACAGTTGAAATTTTCACAGATTGTGTATTTCTGTTGCCGCTAATAATAATAATAAAAATAAATCAAAAATTAAAAGGAGCTCCTCTACTAGAAAGGTGTATTACGATGGTACGATGCGCGAGTCCGACTCGCACTTGGCCGGTTTTGTATTCTAGAATTGCTGAATAGGGGCCTCTACTATTATAGGGAGGGTTTGGCTTAAGCCTTATGCTTGGAAGGATAATTGACGATCGCAGTATTTTTTTATTGAATATGCCGTTATATTTTTCTCACTAATCAAAAAGATTTTGAAAGTCGTTATAATGAAATTATTAAACGTATCTTTTTTAAGTTGTAAATAAAATATGACGACTGTTACTTTAGTAATAGTTATAAAAATTAAAAAAACAAAAAAGAAGCACAAAACTAACAGCACATTTTATTTTACTCATACAAAATTTTTAACCTTTTTTAAATTGCAAACTGAAATAACGTGAAGGAATTAAATGAACGGTGAACTTTATTAAAATATTCATACTTACATGTTCCAACCAAACATTTGTAGTTAAGATTTGATCCTTTAGATTCTGGAACAAAAGAGCAGAATATTAAAATTCTTTCCCTCAGACATTAAGATATGAAAACTTTGTCGCTTAAAGAGCTTTACTATACTCCCGACGCAGGACAATCGATTGTTGTTTCTTGGATGAATGCCAAGAAATTCGGCTTGCTCATTAAAACGAATGTACCCATCGTAAATAGTGTCACGTACGAAGAATATCAAAATGCTTTTATTAGCTCGTATAACAGAGAAGAAGAAAATAGATGGTCTTATAAGGCGAGTGTTTCAGTGACAAATAAATATTGTCCCTTTTCTTAGATATTAATAGGTTAAACATCGTCGTTTACATCACCTACATTATAGCTCGGCACAATTCTTTACCATTGGTCTACAAAACTTACCTTACTTACCGTCAATTTACCCTTGACAAAAGGCAAATCACTAGACACGCGAGAAACATAGAAATATAAACAATAAGTAAATTAAACGTGATAAAACTCGTAAAAGATAATAATTTAAAAATTATTTATTTCAACGTGGTTTTTACAAATTAAAATCTCGTGGTCAAGTTAAAAACGCGTAAATTTTGATCTCAAAAATACTGTTACTAACCGGAACAGTATATATAGGCAAATAGTACCTAGAAAATATATATACCTATAGAAATTTCATGCCGCCCTCTCTGAAATATATTACTTTCAAATTCTGTGGATGAAAATATTCTCCATCTGCTGACTATTTTAAAACTTCTTGGTTCAAACTCTCTTTTTGATTTCTCACACGTCATTTGATAGTACTAAAACGAAGCTGTGCAAGGCAATAAGACGGCGCATTAAAAATTTACGAGCAAACGTGCAGGCAAAGGTGTGATCACAGAGAGGTAATATTCATATCGAATAGATAATGCTGATTTAAAAAAAATTGATTTGAAATAACGTTGTCGCAAAAGTTAATATTGAGAAATAACAGTGATGATTTCATGGTCTAAAATAGATAGCGATATGCTATACCATAAATCATATCTGAAATACTGGCGACGGTGATCAGAGTACAAAGCGCTAAGCATCTGGTATTTTGTTCGTTAATTTACCAGTCATCGTGGATTAACGGCAATTCCCACAGATTTTTACTGGTTGATGCCAAGAAGAAGAACACTATTAGCAGTTGCATAATTTTAACTTTCTAATAAAAAAATTAAGAAATATTGCAAGCATTTTAAATATGCAGAGAATGATAAGAAATAAAAGTTGACGAGTCCGTGCAATCAAGGCATAGAACGTTAGAAACTGGTCGTAAATAGATTAGGTGACAATTGCATTCCAATTACACTGTTCACTTAACAACATAAAAAGTCCGGCCAAACGTAACTGTAGAACTATATAGAACACATTTTTCTATAAAAACAAAAATATGATAAATATGTATAACATGAGCCGTGGTGGCTCTGATGGTTAGCGCTCGCTGTTAATTTCACAGTGCCGGTTCGGCACCAATGAAATTGTTAATTGCAATTTTAAGTGCCAATTTACCACGTGCTCGGCGGTGAAGGAAAACATCGTAAGGAAACCTGCATGTTTGAGAAATAAGAAAAAAATATTCCTTGCCCTAATACCCTATTAGAAATGAGGGGCGACCTGTGCCCAGCAGTGATACGTATATTGACTGTAAATTTAACTTTAAATATGAAAATAGACAGATGCCCCTAAAAATGCTATTTATAAATCAACTGAACCATTAAATGGCCTCAGCAGTGTGACAGGGCGTAAGAGAATCTCTCACCTAATTTCGTTCCGTGTGTGTCGTAAGAAGCGTTGGGGAATGATACAAAATCTTATGGCTTCCTCTGATGGCATTTACTATCTTGTTTACGCTCGAAGTAAAGTACCCAGCTCTTCGAGAGGCAGCAGCGTATAATTATGGCAAATCTTCCCTACAACGGATGAGTTCCGTAACCAACAGTGCATTTTAGCGACTGATTAAGAAAAACAAGAGACTATAATATAATTCTTTTCTTTTTGATAACAAATAATAATAAAGCCTAAATGTTGAAAAGTTAACACACATGAGTAGATCATCAATATTTATTGATTCATGTTACTTTCACAACAAAAGTAAATTTAATGAAGATTAAATTTACCATTATTTTTACTTTATTATTTTTTATTGCCTTAATAAACAGAAGTAGGCTATGTAGTATAGACGCCAAGCATTTAGTTTTACGCTGTGGACTTTGGTATTAATTCTCGCCCTCTACCTTTCTTCCCACTGATGAACATAGATTGCCTCATGAAGGGGATATGAGCCATAGTTGCCGCGCTCATCTGTGGCAACTGCAGTTTTTTTAATATAAAGAAAACGATGCTGCCCATCTCCTCTGGTTTGTTTCCCTCTGTGGTCTATTAATATACCCACAGAACAATAAGGAGTAATGTATATTCTTACATCGCTAATACATGGCATAGGTTTTGATATAGTATCGCCTATTTTTTTAAATACTCTTGTCGTTAGATGCGAAACACTTTTTGGTTTTACAAGGAATAAATAATAAATACAAATGAAACCTTTTCTGTACTATCATAGGTTCGGTGATAGTAAAAAAAAAAGAATTAGCGGGAAGATTGCCACAATATCTTGATGTATAAAAGCGCTCGTAAACAGGCTAGTTTTGCATCACATTCCGGCTGCGCCGTTGCTTCCGAGTGACGCCTGTTCAGGTTGTCCGCGCGCGCTAACGTCCCTACGTTAGTGCCCTTTCCGCGTACCGCGCTTCTCGTTATTCTGTTCGCGCTCAATAGCGCTGAAGTTCGGTAAGTGTTTTCTGCTAATTCTCAGCTCTCACCCCCCCGTCTCCGGTCGGGGAGGTTTGACTGACCGCTTATAATATCATAGATTACTTTATAAGTTTATTTAGTTTATTTTATTAACTATTTGTTTAGTCTATAGTTATTTCTTTCCTTTGTGTAATTATTGTGTTATATATAAGGTTTCTTAGAATACGTTACTTGCTCTTTTCAGAGCAAGACCCTGTTCTTTTGAGAACAGGGGTCCGTACTATCTTAGAAAAGAACGTCCCGTTCTTTTGAGAACGGTGACCCTCGCCCTTACTGCCTTAGATAAGAACGTCCCGTTCTTTTGAGAACGGTGACCCCCGCCCCCGCTTAGAGTAAAACGTCACATCTCTGTCTCCGAAAATGTCCACCCAGGATTTAAAAGGTTCCCTCTTAGACGCCATCAATAGGATGGACGACCCGCAGGCTCTCGCCGCAGCCCTGGCCATTTTGGCTACTCCCGCCCTTCAGGCAAGTCAACCGCCGCCCGTTATAGCGGCCCACCTCGAGTCCCGAAACTCATTCGCCCCTCTCGAACTAGATATGGAGTGCTCGCACTCCGACTCCGGTTCCTCCGTATCGGCCTCCCGGAAGAGACCCGCCACTAAGTCTGGCACCAGGACATCGGAGTCCTCCGACTCTGATTCATCTTACACAACGGTTACATCAGCGCGGCGTAAATCGCCCCGCAAACAACCGCACTCGCCCCGCCTCAGCGGCCCTTGCCGCTCCCCCCACCCCCGCTGCCCCCGCCACTGCCCCCGCCGCTGCCACGGCCCCCCTTATATCGCTAGAAATCCCAGCGCCTTCGAAGCCAGCCTCTCGTTGCGCTCCCTTTCTTTTTTTTTATAGAAGTGGGGGCAAACGAGCATGCGGCTCACCTTATGGTAAGTGACTACCGCCACCCATGAACAACCGCAACACCAGGTAAATTGCAGATGCGTTGCCCGCCTTTTAGAAAGGTGTAAGCTCTTTTCTTGAAGGTTCTAAGTCGTATCGGTCCGGAAAATTCGCTGGTGGTAATTGATTCCACAAGGAAATTGTGCGAGGGAGAAAACTTCTTCTAAATCGCACAGTGGTGGACCGCCAATCATCCAGATGGTATGGATGGTAACGCGAGTTTTGTCGCGATGTGCGATGGTGAAATTGAGCGGCTGGAATTAGTCCGAACAATTCCTCAGAGCACTCCCCGTGATAGATGCGATAAAATACGCAAAGAGATGCAACATCTCTACGCAGTGCCAGTGTATCGAGCCGATCAGAAAGAACTCGGTCGTCGAAGATTCGAACCGCTCTGCGCTGGATGCGGTCAAGTGGAAGGAGCTGGCACTGGGGTGCCCCGGCCCAGAGATGAGAACAGTATTCCATGTGGGGCCGAACTTGCGCTTTGTAAAGATGCAAGCGATGTGCCGGCATGAAATACTGTCTCGCTCTGCTGAGCACGCCAAGATTTTTAGAGGCCAATTTGGCCTTTCCTTCCAAGTGACCACGAAACTGCACACTATTCGATATGTCGACGCCAAGGATTCCGATACTAACTGAGGCAGCAAGGGGAGTGCCTTGAAACTCAGGAGATACGACAAAGGGGTTCTTTTTAGCGATAAACGCGCAAACTTGTGTCTTCTGGGGATTGAACTGGACTAGATTTAGTCGGGCCCAATCCGAGACTTTGTTAAGCAAGGACTCGACTTCAGACACAAGTTTGTCCCGGTACTTAGCGACGTTTTCCCGAGAAATATTGGCACGGCCGGTATATAAGGCATCACCAGGTCTGCATAGCAATGAATGCTACTAGTTAGCAACATATCATTGATATGCAGGAGAAACAGCGTTGGTGATAGCATGCAGCCTTGTGGAACACCAGCGTTGATAGGCTTGAAATCAGAGCATGCACCGTCTACTACGACCTTGATGCTCCGAACAGCAAGGAAACTGGTGATCCATTTGCACAATTTCTCGGGAAGCCCATAGGAAGGAAGCTTCGAAAGAAGCGCTTTGTGCCAGACCCGATCGAAGGCCTTCGCTATGTCCAACGGCCAATGCCTCCCCCTTGGACTCTACTGCCTCCGCCCATCTATGAGTCAGATAGACTAGAAGATCACCAGCTGATCGACCTCGACGAAAACCGTATTGGCGGTCACTAATCAGCTGGTGATCCTCAAGGTACCTCATGAGCTGGCAGTTTATAATGGATTCC